CAGGAGGTGGGGGTTGCAGTGAGCAGAGATCGTGCCATTAAACTCTAGCCTGGGCAGCAGAGTGAGACTGTCTCAAAAAAAAAAAAAAAAGAGTTTTGTTTGTTTGTAATATTTTTACCTTTTTTTTTTCTTTTTTTCCTTCTTTTTTAGGGACAGGATTTCACTATGTTGCTGACTCAAGCAATCCTCCTGCCTCAGCCTATAAATTTTGATAAAAATAAGATGTTTTAATAATAAGATTTATTGAAAAATTTAGGAATAAATTTTATGAATTTATTGAAAAATTTTTGAATAAAATAAATTTATGAAAAATCAATCTTATTCCAAGAAATTATTAGAAAAAGAAGAGTGTTTTGGTCACATGTGATGTTGAAAGCATCTTCGTCTATTTGCAATTCTGGACTGAATAAATGGTTAGAATAAAATGATAAGCCCACACTTCTCCATCTAGCCGCATTTGTGTGTGTGTGTGTGAAAACTGCAGAATTTTTTTCCCCTTTTAAGGGAAAATTCAGTGTCCAGTTTAGTTTCTTTAGTTTTTATTTCTTTCATTTGGTTACTGATGCGCTTTCAATTTTTGCTTTATCTATCTCACTCACTCTTTGCAAATTCCTCTGCTTCCTCTCAAGCAATTATGTGACTTTACTGAACAGCTGTCACGGTCTGTCTCTGAAGTGACCATTCTTGATCTGACATTTATTCAGTCAAGAATTGCAAATAGACAAAGATGCTTTCAACATCTCATGTGGCCAAGAAGCTCCCCTTTTTCTAATCATTTCTTGGAATGAAATTAATTTTTCTTTCCTTTTGTTTGTAGCAAAATTTAGATGAAGCTAAGTTGGCAGAACATTGTTATTTATAAAGCATAACCAAAGTATTTGAATCTAATATTTGAAAATATTAAGTTCTCTAATTCACACTAGTTATTTATATTTATTTCTTGATTATTTTTTTCTGACTTTTATTTTAGGTTCAAGGAGTACATGGGCAGGTTTGTTACATAGGTAAATGGCATGTGGCAGGGATTTAGTGTATAGATGATTTCGTCACCCAGGTAATCAGCTAGTACCAGATAGATAGCTTTTCAATCTTCACTCTCCTCCCCACCTTCACCCTCAGTAGGTCCCAGTAGCTATTGTTCCTTTCTTTGTGTCTGTGCATACTCCATGTTTAGCTTCCATTTGTAAGTGAGAACATGCGGTATTTGTTTTTCTGTTACTGCATTAATTTGCTTAGGATAATGGCCTCCAGATCCATCCACGTTACTGCAAAGGGCATGATCTTATTATATTTTTATGGCTGCATCACACTACTTATTTTTCTTAAAAGATTTTTAGCATCTGTAATTACTAGGATATATTTAGAATTTTATCCGAGAATATGGTGGGTTTCTAATATTTTTGGTAATAGTATTCTAATTGCAATGCCAAACATTAACTTTAGAGAATAGGCACACAAATAATTTAATATTTAAATAGGAATTCAGAAATTTTTCCCATAGAGTTCCAGTAACAAACTATATGAAATTTTGTGTTAAATCTGGCTTCATTAAACTAATAATTACTTAATAATTCTGGGAAAAGAGTGTAGGTAACAAATTAATAGTATACTGTCTTAGAAAATTCTTAAATTTTTTAAGGATAAAATTATATCATTTTTAGCTTTTAAATAAATAATTTTTATTCAATGAATATATTGATTATAAGTGAATCTTGTACATTTTAAAACAACTTCAATGGTTACTCATTTAACAGTTCTTTTCCAATATTCTTGAGATAATACATGTACTAAAATAGCAGAATTGCATTTTCTGAACGTTCTCTAATTTTGACATTTTTAAAGTTTCACTGAGATATGATTTCACACACCATGTAATTCACCCACTTAAAGTGCACAACTCAATAGCTTTTAGGAGAGTCATAGACTTGTGTAAACATCACTGCAATCAGTCAATTTTAGAGCCTTTTCGTCATCCCCAAATAAAATCATAAAATCCAATGCAGTACCCATTAGTGGTTGCTCACTATTCTTCCCTGGTCTCAGCTACAGACCTAGGAAATCTTTAATTTACTTTTTATCTGTCCAAATTGCCTGTTTTTGAACTTTTACATGACTAGAATCATACACTGTATAGTCTTTTGTGGCTGGCATCTTTCATGTAGCAGTATTTTCATGGTTATTCCTATTTTAGCATGTATCAGTATTTCTTTCCTTTTTATTGCTGAATAGTATTCCATTGTGTGTATTTATACCACATTTTATCTATCCATTCAACAATAGACATTTGAGTTATTAACCCTCTTTTGGCTAATATGGATAATTCTCCTATGAAAATTCCTATACAAGTTTCTATATGGAAATGTTTTCATTTCTCATGGGTATATACTTACCAGTGGAATTCATGGGTCATGACAACTCAGTGTTTAACTTTCTGAGAAGCTGCTAAACTGTTTTCCCAGGTAGCTGCACCATTTGACATTACCACCAACAATGTATGAGTTTCACAATGTCTTCACATCCTTGGAAATCCTTGTCATGATGTGTTTTTTTGATTATAATCATCCAAATGGGAACAAGGGAGTGGTCTCACTGAGGTTTTGATTTGTATTTCTCTGTTAGCTAATTAGGTGAACATCTTTCCATGTGTTTATTGGCAATTGATGTATCTTCCTTGGAGGAAGATCTACTCAGATTTTTTGCCTATTTTTTAAATTGAGTAATTTGTCATTTTACTATTGAGTTACAGACTGTTTAAAATTAATGAGGGTAGTCTCCCTAAAGAGATTTCTTAAAATGGATGAGTTTTAACTGACTTAAATATATGCTTTTCACTTTTGATGTAGAGCTTGTTCTAATATACAACACTGGTTTTATGTAATAATATCAATCACAATTTATACATGACTTCAAAATAAATTATTATAGCAAAACATGATTTCATTAAGCCACACTTTTAAAATTATGTTATCTTCTCTTTTAAAGACACATACAGAATATTTTAGAAAGCAACAACTGCTTAATGGTCAACAAATTATAGGACTTTTACAAAGAAGACTTTGGCGTTTAGAGAGTGACAGTGTTATTTGAGTAAAATTAATTTTTTTAAAGGACACTAACTTTTTCCTACTTTACCTTAATAATTTCCCCTTGAATGTCTGTGTAGGAAGATTAACAATGTTGTCAACACAAGTTACATGTCTGAATCCTAAAAACTTGACATTGCCTGGATGTCATAGCAGGAAATAAAAATATTTTCTGTAAAACAATAGTATTCTAAGATACTGATCCCACAGATTCTTGGAAATACATTTTCAATTTTTAACATGGAAGCTTTTAAACATGACTAGGTAAATTACAGTCTATGTGAAAATGCTAAGAACATGGATTAGAAGAAAGCAGGATTGTCAATATATTTTTTGAGATTATTCTCCAAAAGTTTCCGAGAACAATACAAATTATTTCTTTTAAAAATTATGTTCTTCACATAGACACAGGGAGGGCAACATCACACATGGGGGCCTGTCTGGTGATGGGGAGCTAGGGGAAGGGTAGCATTAGGAGAAATACCTAATGTAGATGACAGGTTGATGAGTGCAGCAAACCTCCATGGCACGTGTATACCTATGTAACACACCTGCACATTCTCCATACTTATCCAAGAACTTGAAGTATAATAATAATAAATTATGTTCTTGGCATCTTCTCATTTATACATATTCCTTTCACTCTAAAAATATTATACTACAAAATTTTAATCACCACAGATTGTCTTCTTTTCATTTAAACAAATCTTGATTAAAGTGTAAAATGTTTCATATTAAGTTTCCTGGAAGAGAAATCTGTCTTGTGATTCACAGAACAACAAATACTTAAGTATATAGTATCAAGTAGAATAAGTACTTAACACAAGCATATTGAATAAATGAATTAAACATAAAATAAGTATTAATTTTTTTCTAAGGTAACCTCTCAAGATATGGCAGTGGACCCCAGGATCTGTAAGAGTATAATGAAAAGGGAAATAAAATGCTGATCTGTTGATTTTTCAAGGCAGACCTGCAGCTATTAGGATGTGTTCTGTGAACTTCTGTCGTCTAAAGCCTCAGATCCTGTGAATCCCCATAAGACCCAGTGTCTGTCATGTTATTACCCTATGGGCACTTCTCAGCTGTATATGTGTTCAGTCCTTTTCAGGTTCTCCCAGGAAAAGAAAAGGATGGGGAAATACAAAGCTAACACTTTGATATAATTTCCATTTTACCCCTTGCACATAACTAATTATAAGTTTCTGATTTATTCATTCTTTTGTATTATTTTTTCAACAATTTAGAAAACAAACGCTGATTACCATTGAAAAGATTGTATAAATTATCTGTTATGTACATCACTCCTTCCTGATGCTGAATTCTTCTTTTTTCTTTTCTTAGCAAATGTCACATTTTCACTTCAGCAAACCTGTGTAACAATGACCATGCAGCCCAGTGTTGAGGAATCATAAAAAATTAAAAGCATTTGACTGGCAACAAATCAATTATTTCAACAATTTTCTTTTACTTGTGAGAATGCAAGCAATCTTAGGCATGAGTTACTATTTTTAGAGTCCTAGTTATAATACACTTCTTTCAATTCTAGGCTCAATTAAGAAATTTAAATTATGTAGAAAGGAACAAGTATAACACCCTTCCTTCAACTCAATCATGAACAAATATCATTTTTCCACTCATTATATAGATATGCTGTGGATGAGAAAACTAAATTTCTTCTGCATTAAAAAGAAGATTGAAAAGTAAAATATGGAAAGGATTTTTTTGAAGAAAGGACCTTAGAGATGTAATCTAGCGATTACTCAACTGCTTTTATCCTGCAGATGAGGAAATTTAAACTCAGAAACACTTCATTTCACAAGAGCATACATGAGAAGCCAGGCTATAAATCTGAAAACAGCTTACAGTAACTATTAACTATCTGCAACACACCCATTAAAAAGTAAATATGTGAGTTCCGTCGCAGCCGGGAGTGAAGCCGCCTTTCTTCTTTGTGAGTTGCTGTCATCCCCACTTGACAATGCAGATCTTCGTGAAGACTCTGACTGGCAAGACCATCACCCTTGAGGTCGAGCCCAGTGACACCATTGAGAATGGCAAGGCAAAGATCCAGGACAAGGAAGGCATCCCTCCTGATGAGCAGAGATCGATCTTTGCTGGGAAAGCAGCTGGAAGATGGGCGCACCCTGTCTGACTACAACATCCAGAAAGAGTCCACCCTGCACCCGGTCCTGTGTCTCTGAGGTGGGGTGCAGATCTTCGTGAAGACCCTGACTGGTAAGACCATCACCCTCGAGGTCCAGTCCAGTGACATTATTGAAAACGTCAAGGCAAAGATCCAGGACAAAGAAGGCATCCCTCCTGACCAGCAGAGATCCATCTTTGCTGGGAGACAGCTGGAAGATGGATGCACCCTATCTGACTACAACATCCAGAAAGAGTCCACTCGGTCCTGCGCTTGACGGGGGTTATGTAAGTTTCCCCTTTAAGATTTCAACAAGTCTCATTGCACTTTTCTTTCAATAAAGTTGTTGCATTCCCACCACCCCGTCTCCCCCCAAAAAAGTAAATATGCAAAACATAACCACTTGCTAAACAAATGCTACAAACCCATGGTCAAGAGATGAAGAACTTTATTCAAGCACTGCCAATCTTTCTTGTTGTAGAATTACTACCAAACTCACAGGGGTTCAAATTCATCAGTGATTAGAAATAGAGATCAGAATTGAGGATAAAGGCTTCTAATTTGTCCTCAGTGGCAAGCGATAGATGGTCTGTAAAGAAAAATAAACTGACTTTTTACCCTTGATTGACCAATTTTTAACATCACGACAAATTGGCTTTATTTTATTCTCTGTCTCAGTCATTTACACATACACAGTTATTATTTTTATCAGAACCATTTGAGAGATCGCATATACCATGTTCCTTTACCTATTAATAGTTTAGCATGTACTTCCTAAGAACAAAGATATTCTCTTATATAATTGCTATACAGTTAGCAAATTAAGAAAAGCTCACACTTGGATCTAATCTCCATTTTATCCCTTGCACATAACTAATTATATTAGTTTCTGATTTATTCTTTCTTATTTTTGAAAAAATAAGCAGAAAGGTATATTTTCTTACATATTATTTCCTAAATAGTATTGTTTTGTATGATAAGTCCATTAAAAAACCCTGCAAAGCCAAATAAAGTAAAAATACTTTCCCACATTTCCTACACAGTTGCACATTTTGAAATATTTTTATACTTTTCTATATCTTCTTTCATGCCTTATTTCCCAACTGTTTTAAGCCGCCTAGCACAAACCAAACCTAATTTTCCAAGGAAACTGTGCTACAAGCAATGAAGAATCTATGAGAGCTTCCAAACAGGGAACTGATATGATCAAATCTAAGATTTAGAAAGCAGACTGTGGCAGTGTATGAAGGAGGCAATAAAATAGCAGACAGTTGATGCTGTGAGACTCACTTATGAAGTTACGGTAACTTTTCAGGTAAAGTATGTTGAAAGTCTGAATTAGGGTCAAAGTAGGAGGAGTAGAAAGTGGAGATGAATTTGGAGAATAAAGTAGCGGAAGAAAGTGAAGATGGTGGACAGATACTGCTATGATTATCTGAACTAGAAAACAGAGGAGGAACCAGGAAGGAGAAAGATCAATGGTTTTGTAGTAGATCTGATGAGTTTCAGGTATTGGGGTCCTATCCTTGTAGAAAGGTTTAGGGCACAAATGTAAATACAGAGAAAAAATAAGGTGCTGTACAGACTGGTGCTGAGGAAAGTTTGCTTGGTAGTTTCATTTGTGTGTTTTTTTAAATTACATTTTAGGTTTTGGGGTACATGTGAAGAACATGCAAGATTGTTGCATAGGTACACACGTGGCAGTGTGATTTGCTGCCTTCCTCCCCATCACCTATATCTGGCATTTCTCCCCATGCTATCCCTCCCCAACTCCCCACCCCCTCCTGTCCCTCCCCTACTTCCCCGCAACAGGCCCCAGTGTGTAGTGCTCCCCTCCCTGTGTCCATGTGTTCTCATTGTTCAACACCCACCTATGAGTGAGAACATGCGGTGTTTGATTTTCTGCTCTTGTGTCAGTTTGCTGAGAATGATGGTTTCCAGGTCCATCCATGTCCCTACAAAGGACACAAACTCATCATTTTTGATGGCTGCATAATATTCCATGGTGTATATGTGCCACATTTTCCCTGTCCAGTCTATCATCGATGGGCATTTCGGTTGATTCCAGGTCTTTGGTATTGTAAACAGTGCTGCAATGAACATTCGTGTGCATGTGTCCTTATAGTAGAACGATTTATAATCCTTTGGATATATACCCAGTAATGGGATTGCTGGGTCAAATGGGATTTCTATTTCTAAGTCCTTGAGGAATTGCTACAGTGTCTTCCACAATGATTGAACTAATTTGCACTCCCACCAACAGTGTTAAATTGTTCCTATTTCTCCACATCCTCTCCAGCATCTGTTGTCCCCAGATTTTTTAATGATCGCCATTCTAACTCGTGTGAGATGGTATCTCAACGTAGTTTTGATTTGCATTTCTCTAATGACCAGGTGAGCATTTTTTCGTATGTTTGTTGGCCTCATGTATGTCTTCTTTTGTAAAGTGTCTGTTGTTTTCATGCAGAACTATCTTCTCCTCTTTGGACCTGTACAGCTAGGATTGCAATGAACAAGTGAAGTTGCTCCTTCATGGTTAAACCGGCAGGAGAGGCTGAAGTGTGGTTGTCTTGGTTACATATGCTACACAGTTGCACAGAACTACTTAAATATTCAGTCTATATGAAAGTAATGATATACCAAAGACATTTTGTAATAATGCATGTGGTGCCTGCAAAAAACTCTCAGTATTGGGTTTTTTTTAAAAATTACTTTCTGTGAGATCTGAATGACATTTGAGAATATAATATGTGTGTATGAACACAGTTCAGTATCCAACTCCCACCCCTGTTCCTGGAGAAACACATAACACACACACACACACACACACACACACACACACACACACACACACAATGGTTTTCTGGAAAGAAGTCAAACCTCTGTTGTTGCTAACATTTTTTCCATGGGGAATAGATTTTATTTTTTCTTCTACATATAGTTTCCTGCTACGCCAGGAGAGGAAATGTTTTCTCTTGTTTCTAGCAAACAGACATACGTAGACAATGGGAAACCATGTTCAGAAGAGAGGAGGAAACCTCACTCCCTGGCAGAGAGGACAGCTTTTATAAGAATTCTCGGCATGGCATGGTGACTCAGGCCTGTAATCCCAGCAGTTTAAGAGGCTGAGGTGGGCAGATCACGAGGCCAAGAAATCGAGAACATGCTGGCCAACATAGTGAAACCCCATCTTTACTAAAAATACAAAAATTAGCTGGGCATGGTGGTGCGCACCTGTAGTCCCAGCTACTGAGGAGGTTGAGGCAGGAAATAGCTTGAACCCAGGAGATGGAGGTTGCAGGGAGCTGAAATGGCACCACTGCACTCCAGCCTGGTAACAAAGTGAGACTATGTCTAAAAAAAAAAAAAAAAAAAAAGGTCAGGCGCAGTGGCTCATGCCTATAATCACAACACTTTGTGAGGCTGAGGTGGGTGGATCAAAAGGTCAGGAGTTCGAAAGCAGCTTGGCCAATATGGTAAATCCCTGTCTCTACTAAAAATACAAAAATCAGCTGGATGTGGTGGTGGGCACCTGAAATCCCAGATGCTCTGGAGACTGAGGCAGGGGAATCGTTTGAACCCAGGAGGCGGCAGAGGTTGCAGTGAGCTGAGATCTTGCCACTGCACACCAGCCTGGGAGACAGAGTGAGACTCTGTCTCAAAAAAAAAAAAAAAAAAAAAAAGAATCCTCTGTGCCCTGACTTTGGTACCCCTTTCTTCTCTACAGCTACTTTTAGTAACATGAGTGCAGTATTCACCTCTGATCAATACTTATAATCGCTGGCCGTGAATACCTAAGAAGAATCACAGCACCAGATGGGGCAGAAGGAAGAAGATATTGAATTAGAAATACTGATGATGATTTCCCTTTTCAGATACATTGATGAAGATAAAGCACATTCCTGTGATGAGGGCCCTGGTTTCTTGCCTTTGGCCAGAACAAGGAGTAGAGTTAGTGGAACCTGAGACTCCTGAAGGCATGTGCCCATCTAGCTGTCCTGACACTAGTTGTGATCTCTTGCCTTCAACACCTCTTTGCCATTGTTTCCTGTCACCTTATAGCCTGATTTAGACTCTGTTGATGCAAACTGTGATGCACCAGCATAGTTTATTATGATGATAGTATTTGTTTTCGTTCTTATACTAATGCAACCATTATTTCTGCACAATGTCTTTCCATTATCTTTCTACTCACCTAAGAAGGGCTTACTACAGGAGAAATAGAAGCTTTATATGTAGTAAGACGCAGCATCTTAACTGTGACACCGGAACCTTGATTATATCCACTAACATGTGTCTTGTCATTGCATGCGTGTGTGTCTATACATCTTCATGATCTTATTTCTGTTGGACTGACGTATTTCCTGTTCTTGAACATGCTTTATGTGTTCCTACCTCTCTGCCCTTTTTCGTGTATTCATTCCACATCATCTTCACACTTCCCCATGATAAATGCCCCAACTCCTTCCATCTATCTGCATGCTTTAGAGTGGTGGGGTGGTTTATTTTTTATATTTTTCTTAGAGCCAAGTTCTTGCTTGTGACCCAGGCTAGTGTGCAGTGGCAAGATATCGGCTCACTGCAACCTCCACCTCCCAGGTTCAAGTGATTCTCCTGCTTCAGCCTCCAGAGTATCTGGAATTATAGGTGCCCGCTGCCACACTCAGCTAATTTTTGTGTTTTTAGTAGAGACAGGGTTTCACCATATTGGCCAGGCTGGAGTGCTGTGGCATGATCATAGCTCACTACAGCCTCCACTTCCCGAGCTCAAGAGATCCTCCTGTCTCAGCCTCTGGAGTAGCTAGGACTGAGGGCATGCACCACCATTCCCAGCTAATATTTTATTTTTTGTATAGATGGGGTCTTGCTGTGTTGCCCAGGCTGGTCTTGAACTCCTAGCCTCAAGCACTCCTCCCACCTTAACCTCCCAAGTGCTTACAGCTGTGAACCACTGTGACCAACCTAAATGCATTTTTAAAAATTCAAGATTTAACTGAAATACATTTTGCCATGGCTCCTGTTTTCGTTACTGTCATCTTTTGTTACTTAGAAATTGTGTATCGCTTACAGTCTGCTATTTATTTGACAACTACACTGCTGTATACTCTTAGTTTTATTTTTCTATGTTTAAGCCTTGACTTTTAAAATAAATGTCATCGGTAGAATAATGACCAAACTCCTGGACTTTGGAGACAGATGAACTTGGTTTTGAATCCTGGCTCTTCTGCTTAGTCATGGTAAAATGTCAAAGTTACTTAATAACTTCAAAGCATCAGTTTCCTCATGTGTAACACAATCATAGGAACCATAAAGTTGTCATGAGGATTAAATAAGATAATATATGTGAAAGATTTAGA